CATTATGTGGAGAGAATTATAGATTGTTGACACGCCGGGGATGCCATTTTGATAAGCCCGTCTCGTGAATCTCATGTGGCACTGAATAGCCATAGCTCCTACCTAATATTTAACAGTGGATGAACAAACATCAGTCGCTTGGCTAATCAGTCCTCTATGTTCTTATCATCACTATTCCGAACTTCCGAGTTGACACAAATTCTTTCAACACCTAATAGTTGAAGAGTTTGCGAATTGGAAATGGAGAAATATCTCTAGGAAGGACAAGTACATTTTGATTTAACGAAAATTAGGGATGGAGCAGCATGCCATTTGGGGCTAGTACAACGCACAGCAAAGCAATGGCATGCCCGGGCTTTTTATCGACGATTCGTATTTCCATAAGAGATTTCAATTCCTTTTCTTTGTTGTTTCTGGTTCAATGTCCAGGGAATAGAAGGCGAATGGATGTGGGCTACGAGCTACGAGCTGTGTGACAATTTATAAAACTTTCCTTTTCAAATAAGGGTTCCAAACTCATGAAAAATAAAGGATTTACAGAGAAAAAACAAATCCTTAGAGTTAAAAAAAAAGTTATAGGAAAACAGAAGCGAATATTGGTCATGATCCCTCTTTCTCACTTGTAGTTTTGGAATCCTAACAGTTCTCGAGTGTGGTACATCGTCTAACAAGTCCAATGTTTTTCTTACTCATGCTATCAACAGAAGCACTTGGAATATTTTTGGCCCCCAGAAAAAAACTAGAAGATGTACGTGAATCATGTGGCATGTTTCTTGCTTCCATAATGAAAGAGATTGCGTCCGTGCACTTGGATTGAAGAAAACTAAATATGATTTTTGCTTTAAAATAGTCTAATTAATTCGCTAATAATGCTTTGGATCATACCGTGAAAAGTATTCCGAACTCTTGGCACTTTTTTATATTTTTATTTTCAGCGACGCGGGGAGAGATAGACTAGAGAGCCTATTTCTTGAAAAAAAAAATTGGATCTAGTTTAATATTTATACCCAAGGAAATTTTTTGACCAGTAGCCAAAGAATGTTGGGTCACAAAAAGTTGCACATTGTGATCATGGGTAATCTTCACCACAAGGAAGGACATTATCTAATCAGCCATATCGTCTAGGGTTGTTTTTTCTTTTTGCTGGTGTAACTTCATATATAGGAAAAGAATTTGAAACACCGAGTTTCACATGATTTGCACGTTTCCTATGTGCATGGACCTAGACCTATGGAGATGGGGGATATGAGCTGAAACCAGTGGAAGAAGGGAAGAATTTTCGGCTAAACCAGCTCTGTCACTTCCTAGTATGTTCTGAGGATTCTTACTTGAGGATGGAAATATCAAAGCTTGATAAGTAGAGGACATCAATTTAAGCAGCCAAGTGTGACTTTTCCCATTGTTCGGGAGACAATTTTGTCATCATCTTTTACCAAGATGGATGACTTTTTAGGACCCTTGTCTTGGACCCGGTTAAGCACATTAGAAATGAGCTTACTGACTTAAATGTTCCTTATACATGTCAAATTTTTTAATTTTTCCTAGACCAAATTCGTATGAATTCTTCCTCTTCCACATTAGATTGAATATTGTTCGACGTACCCGCTAAATGCCACAAAATGCCACGATTTATTGCCAATCTTTTTGTTTAGTATTTATTAGCTTGATTGCTTACAGTTTCCAATTCAACATGAATATGGTCTTTCTTCATGCATTGTTTAAGTTATTTAAGAAATCAATTTCAGTTAAATCCCGTTTAGTGCCAGAGTTTGGTTTCTTAGCATTGTGTGCTTATATAATTTCTTAGCGAAATTATTAGATCAATATGAAGGTAAGAAAATTGACCATCATTAAAATTGGGGAAAGAATCTTTGGCCTCGACCTTTACCATGTTTCACAATGTGTGGATGGTTGCACATATCTGTGTCTCCAGAGGGGAGTGAAATGTTGAGCACTTGTAATCCAACCTTACTTAAGTATAGCCTATAGGGACCGTGTTCTTTTTGCTGGCACAGCATCTCCTATTCCAAAGGGGAAGGGAATGACATTGTTTTCGCATGAGGATCCTAGGATCAAAAGGATCCGCAGACTGGGCCCCCGGTTAGTTACAAATATGAGTGTCAGTCAAGTTTTCAGACCAACGAGAGAATGTGCATGCAGAAATTCGTATCAATCAGAATTTAATTATTCTTTTCTTTTTTTTTTTTTTTTATGAAGAGAATCAATCAGATTTTAGGTAAAAGAGACGAGACATGAGAAGTTGTTGGCCCATCATTCTCCAGCAAAATTTTGTCTGATTTATTGGAGAAAATATCTCTAGACAGCAAAGCAATTTAAAAAGTTGCTCTCAATCAGATCAAGACCAGTCAAGCAATTCTTGTACTCTTGGCATGTGCAGTGAGAGTTTCCAAAGCTGACGAATTCATTTTATCTTTTCATATATAAAAGCCGTAACTAGGAAAGTTATTGTATTACAGTAATTCTAGCTGATGTCTTTCTATAAACCATCAGGCTACCTTGTACTTTAAATACATGTAAGAAATAATAGTACAATATATCTTGTCCAATTCTTCATGATCGATGTACTAAAAATGAGATAAATTCTTTGATGTAATTTGTGGCCGCACATTTGACACGGTTCTTATTGTGACAAGTGCTACACTTCCTATTTCTTTTCCCCCAGTAGATATTTCTATGCAAAATGATATTTGTAATTTGTTTTACAAGCCAATGCAATTCGTGATTTTCCTAATTTTGTTGGCTGGGATTGTCCCTTCTGAGATTTCAGAAATTTTATGAGTCACCAAAGTATCTTATATTATATAGCTCATGTTCAATTAACGAGATACACAAGTTCTCATGCTCGCTTATTGTCCACGAGATCACAAGTTCTCCCTTCTTGTCAGGAAATGTAGACCTATTAGAGGAATGAACAGAACGCACGGTTACTTGTACGCCTTCTTCTTCCGTTGTCGTCGACCCTACCATATCCAAGGATGCGTCCGAGAGCAGAATTGTCAAAGCTTTAGATCCTTCCTGGAGTAGAATATTTTCCACTGAAGTGGTCGCCTATTTTAGCAGCCAAAATGACAAGGATGCATCAATCAGGTTGGCTTTGATGGCAATCGCGACGTATTGTTTTTCAGTCTCAGTTGAAGATATGAGAAATAAATTAATTGAAAAAGGAAAGCACAAGATATTAACCTGATGAGATTTGAACATTTTTTCTTTTGTTCCTCATCGAAGTGTCTCCTTTCAGAAGGCTCTCAAGTGATTTTCCGCTTGGAGGACTTTGAAGACTCGTTTTTTCTATTGGACCCACTGTTGACACCTAAATTTTGGTGACATGTTTAGTAGTCATACACTGCATAAAAAAAGTTAAGGGTCAATCGTGTTTGGAAAGCTAGAGCTCCCTTCATCCTGTAAAGTCCAGATTTGCAGTAAAAACAATGTGTTTGGTAGCAGGATTATGCCGCAAGCTGGCGAAATCTACTGAACCAACCCATTCATGTCAGTTGCAGGGATCTTGCGCCTCTCCTTTGGCTGTGCTAGTGTGTGACATTCTGAAATTTGCCCATTTCACTACAAAAAAACAAGAGTTTTCCAATGAATTTTCCAATGAAAAATTTGGCAAAATTCGTTGGAAAACGAATTTCCAACGAAATTACCAACGAAATTACCAACGAAAAAAAATTCGTTGGTAATTCGTCGTCGCAAATTTTTGCAACAAAAAATTTAAATTTTCGTTGGTAATTTGCAACGAAATTTTGTCGTTGGAAAATTCGTTGGAAAATTCGTGGCAAAATTAGTTGAAAAATTAGTTGGAAAATTCGTTGGAAAGTTCGTTGGAAGTTCGTTGGAAAATTCGTTGGTAATTATTCGTTGCAAAAATCGTGTCAAAATTCGTTGGTAATTATTCGTGGTAAAACGAATTTCCGACGAAAAAAAATTCGTCGGTAATTCGGCGTTGGAAATTTTTGCGACAAAAAATTTTAATTTTTCGTTGGTAATTTCCGACGCAAAAAAATTCGTTGCAAAATTCGTAGATAAATTCGTGGCTAAATTTGTTGGAAAATTCGTTGCTAATTCTTCGTTGGAAACGTCGTGGCAATATTCGTTGGTAATTTCCAACGAAATTAGCGACGAAAATTTTTTTTGAATTTTCGTTGGTAATTTGCGACGAAAATTAATTTGTCGCTAAATTCGTGGCATAGTTCGTTGCAAAATTCGTCGCTAATAATTCGTTGGAAAAATTCGGTGCTAATTATTCATTGCAAAAATCGTTGGAAATCCGCGAATTTTTCCAACAAAAAATTGCAATTTTCGTTGGTAATTTCCAACGAAAATAAAATTCGTTGGAAATCGCAAAATTTTCCGACAAAAATTACAATTTTCGTTAGTAATTTCCGACGAAAACTAAATTCGTCGGAAAATTCGTTGCAAAATTTGGCGGTAATTATTCGTTGGAAAATTTGTCGCAAACTATTCGTTGGAAAATTCGTGGGAAATTTCCCACGAATTTTCCAACGAAATTCAAATTTTCAGATTTTTTCAATTTCCCACGAATTTTCCTACGAAATTGAAAAACCCGGTATTTTGCCACGAACAAAAAAATTCGTTGGAAATTTTTTTTCGCAAAATTTTGCGACGAAAATTAATTCGTGACTACTTATTCGTTGCAAAATTCGTGACTAAATTAGTTGCAAAATTCATTGGAAAATTTGTCGCAAAATATTTGTTGCAAATATCGTGGGAAATCTCGAATTTTGCAGCAAAAAAATTTCAAATTTTGTTGGTAAATTGCGACGAAAAAAAAATTGGTGGCTAAATTCGTGAGAAAATTCGTTGCAAAATTTGTCGCTAAAAATTCGCGAATTTTGCAACGAATTTAAACATAATCTAATATTTTATTTTTCGAATTTTAAACCCAATTAAAAGAAAAATTAATTTCTAAAATTTATATTTAACATTGAGCACTTAATAACGTCAAAATATTATAATAATATGAAAATGAAATACATTCATCAACGTTTTCCACAAGAATGACATAAATATTTTTCTTTATAGTACACATAATGAGAATAAATAATCTTGCACAATAAATAATGACGACAAAAATGAATAAAAAAAAACTATCCTACTTTTAGCGACAATCCCCATCATATAAATACTAAACAAAACTACTAAAGATACGGTCCATGTGTGATGCTCACTTCCTGCTCCAGTTTTAACAAATGCCAATTGAAATGTCGTTGCAACCTCTCATTTGCATAACTTATGCAGAAATTGCCGCGTCAGCCTCTCTCTGCATATGCTGTACTTCCGAGGTTCTACCTGCACCAAAGTGTTATCTTAGCCATAATTTTCTGGAATAGATAACCAAAAAATAAGAGTAGGCTTCATTAAATTTGCAAATTCACACTGCATCTTCAAATTCCAATACCAAGTTAATCACCATAAAATTTCGTCATACTCACCGAGGCATATCTTACGGATGCAACTAAAAAATGGGCAAGAAGAGAAGTTACAAATATCAAATTCAAAATCCAATAAAATCCCAAAAACTACAAAATGAATAGTCAAGAAAGTATACTATTAGATCAAAGTGCAGCATAAGTATGGCAACCAAAGGTTTTTCATCATCTGGAGCACTTCGTAGATACAAAAGCAGAACATGCATTGCATTGACCATCTCTTCATTGGCCAACTTACCCAAGAAAGATACAACATCCTTCCTCCTATTATTTCAAACAAGAATACTAAGTATCATGCCAAAACAATGTAGAATAGCTTAGGTTCAATCTGCTACTATAGGTTCTTGACATGTTTAAGTTACTTCCTCAAAACCAAAACCACACTCTCCAACATAACCAGGGGAGACCAAGGTACTAAAGATACATAGATATATTATAAAAGGACATCCAGGTATTTCATACCTTGTAATCCCAATCCCTTTACTGTGAACCCATAACTTAGAGAGTCCTGAAGAGGCTATCACCATAATATAACCATACACAAGAAAATGAGACGACAAAGTCCTCAAAGGGGAAAAGAAGCATCTACAGCCTCACCTTCCACATCACCAAGAAACATGTATGACAGTTCACACAAAGAACAAGATATAAAGCATCTTTTTTTAAAAAGCAGCTCAACTTCTCTAGTCACCCTAGGTAGTACTTAACATTGTGGCAATCTCTGCATGACACCGTGTCGTATTAGAGTTGATCTATTCAAGCCACACATGGATATTTATTATTCAATATGTTTCAATACACAAATAATTATTTAACTTTCTAGATGTGGGAACTAAGGCCATTTTCCGGGACAGTGAAAATAGTTTCATTACTGGACCTTTTTCTTTATGGATCTCTCAGCAATAAAGACTAACAAAGTGAAGAGATGATGATTGAAGGAACCAGTCATTCTTTTGACAATAAATACAGGAATTTAGATGCAAAATACTAAATAATACACTTCACATAATCAGCCCAAACAAATTGTTTCATATCTGCTCAATTTTATTTCTGCCCAAACCCAATGGCTTCAAGTTGTTGTACCTAATTCAAAATCCAAACTTGGTGAAAGATTGCAGAATGGCTTTTTTACTAGAATAAGCTAGCACCATTAAATTTATGTTGGCATCTCTTAATTGCTTGATTAACTGGCTGCCTAGCTGAGTTGGGACGTAAGGCACCCAGAATCACAATACTGACCTCAACAGATCCTTTGAGTATGCCGCATATGCAATGACAATCTTCAGCAAGTGCAAGCAAAAAGAAAGTACCTCTCATTGCGGTTAAGTCGAGCACCAAAGTAGAAGGCCACAGAGAGCAACCAACAGTCATTATGCACAGCCACCAAAGACAGCCAGTTCGTGCATTTCATTCCATCTCTAGAAAAGGAGCTTTAACATTTGGAGTCTGTAATCACAACTGAAATACCCATTAAGATATCAAAGCAAAAAATAAAGAATTTCCTTTCAGATCATGAATAAAAAGAACCAACAATAACCTAAAGCACACTTAGCCCGTTTCTTATCAACCCACCACAGCCACTTCCCCAATCAAATTGACCACAGTTTCATAGAAAAATCACCTATCAGCAGTTACCCATTTCCCACATACCTCATCCCACTTCTCCAAAATTGCAGCACAAGCTAAAGTCAAAACCTTTTTCTCTAAAAGGCACAATCTTGCATTTGCCCTTTAATTCGAAGGAAAAACAACAACGAACAAGAAACCCAAAGTACATGGAGCCTCACCTGGATCGCAGAGCGAGTAGAATTCATCCACATCTGAAACAAATTCACCCCAACACAAACAACGGCGTCAAGCCAGAAACAAAGAACTAAAAAGAAACACTGCCGGCGCGCACATTCGAACTCGGACCCGGGAAAAAAAGAGAAAAAACGCATGCATGTGAAGATCCAAAGAGGGAGGCGACGGCCCAACGATCGGTACCGTAGGTGAGGGCGCGGACGACGGCAGTGCGTCGGGCGCTGTAGCCCTTAAAGATCTCTTCTACAGTGCGAGGACTAGAGAGGAACCACGTCCGGCGAGAAGCGGCGCCGATTTTGTGGAAAGACGAGAGGAGGACGAGCCGAGGTAGCGAGCTCAAGAGGTGACGACCACGTCGGGGGCCTTGTCGCGGTGCTTCGTGGTGAGCGCCGCTGATCTCGCCCCGACCACCACGCAATCAACCAGTCCCCCGCCGGCGGCCCTCGGCTGGGAGATCCCGAGGCACTCGGCGACGAAGCACCGGATCCCGGCCTCGCCCATGGCCGCCGCTCGCCCTCGCCGTAGCCCAGATCTGGGCGACGGCAAGGTGGAGCAGCCATGGGCGAGGCCGCTCGACCTCGTCCAGATCTGCACGAGGTCGAGCGGCAGCCGACCTCGTCCAGATCTGGGGCGAGGGAGGGCTTGTGGGCGCGGAACGGGTGTATGGCGACGGAGGAGGAGGGGCGACGGCGAGGTCGAGCAGCCATGGGCGGGGCCGCTCGACCTCGCCCAGATCTGCATGAGGTCGAGCGGCGGCCGACCTCATCCAAATCTGGGGCGAGTGAGGGCTTGTGGGCGCGGAACGAGCGTATGGCGACGGAGGAGGAGGCAACGGCGGCGGTGGCGGTGACGGAGGCCATCATGGTTAGCGGAGGGGAGGAGGGAGCGACGGAGAGGTGTTTGGCAGAAGAGGGGGGATATGAGGAATAGCAGAGAGAGAGAGAGAAAGAAAAATTGGGGTTAGGGTAGGGAGATTTGCCACGAAAGGGCGGGGAGCAAAATTGGCGACGAAGTCTTCTGTTCGTCGCTAATTTTAGCGATGAATTAGTCGCCAAAATTATATAGGGCCTGTTTGGTTCGGCTTTGGGGGAATGCATTTGGCAAAATGCAAATACCTTTGAGTTAAAGGGGTTTTTCGAAATGCAAGTAGTGTTTGGTAACGTGTCTTTTAAAATCACATTTGAAAACAACTTTGGTCTAAATACCGTTTGGTAAAATCTTAATTTTGTAAAGGACTTTTGCTAATATTTAAAAAAAAAAAATTTGGCCTGAACCAGCCACCGCCGACGACTGTCCGGCAGGCCAAAACGGCCGCCGGCCAACCTCCAGCAGCCAGATCTGGCCGCCGGCCAGCCTCGCCTGAGGTCGGCCGACCTCCGGCGACCACCGCCTGGGGGTCGCCTGACCCCGGGACCGCCGCCCGGGTCGCCGACCTCACGCGGCGCTCGGGTCGCGCGACCCGAGATCCGGGTCGCGACCCGAGCGCCGCCTGAGCCGGCGACCCTGAGCGGTGGTTGCCGGGGTCTGGCGACCTCGACGCATCAGCACCCGGGGTCGCCCGATCTCGGGACCGCCGCCCGGGTGCCCGACTCAGCGGTGCTCGGGTCGCGCGACCCAAGTGCCGCTGAGGCCGAGCGACCCGGCGGTGGTCGCCGGGTCGGGCGACCTCGCGCGATCGCCACTGGGTCGGCCGACCTCCGCGACCACCGCCGGGGTCGCCCGACCCGGCGACCGCCGCTCGAGTCGGGCGCCCAGGCGCGCGGTCGCCGGGTCGGGCGACCCCAGGCGGTGGTCGCCGGAGGTCGGCCCGACCCCCGAGCGGCGGCCGCCGGACCTCTCAGCGGCCTCCGGTGTGGTTCCTTGGGCGCGATGAACAGTGACGGATGAATAGTGCCAATTGCATTCCGAAAATGCAATTTCCCAAGGGACCTCATGAGGTGCATTCAGCCAAAGGCCCTTAGGGAGCTTTGGAGATGCAATTGCATTTCCTCAAAGCTTGCAAAAAAAATTGCCAAACAAGTTTGCATTTGCCCAAGGGCCTTTAGAGCCCCAAAGCAGCATTTGAATGCTGAACCAAACAGGCCCATAGTGTATGAGGAATAGCAGAGAGAGAGAGACAGAGAAAAAAAATTAGGGTGATGGCGGGCAGATTTGAGAGAGGGCGGGAAGCAAAATCAGCGACGAACATTATCTTTTGTGGCTAATTAGTGACGAAAAAAAATTCGTAGCTAATTAGCCACGAATTTGGTGACGAATTTGACCTCACACATTTTAAAAAATTAAAAAAATTTGCCACGAATTATTTTTCGTGGTTAATCCCGTCGCTAAATTCGAAGCAAATTAGCCACGGAAAAAAATTCGTCGCAAATTTTTTTTATTTTTTAAATTGGTAATGTCGAATTCGTGGCTAAATCCGTTGCAAATTAGCCACGAATAATTTTTCGCCACAAATTAGCGACGAATTTTTTTTCGTGCCTAATTTCGTCGCATATTAGCGACGAATATTTTTTCGTTGCTAATTTTCGTGGCGAAATACTTGTTTTTTTGTAGTGAAACAGTGAAGGTAGTTTTATATTTGTCCTTTTCATTGATTTGTATTTGCCAAAATCCTGATTTCATATCAAATTTATAAAATAATTTTGAATTGTGTAATCTATTCAATGTCTTTTTTATTAGAAATTGGATATCTTATCCATTTCAGAGCTGTATTTAAAGATTTATAGTTGATTACCGATATTGAAACTCCTCTTTCTAATTTAGCATTTTTGTTTACATAGAAAACAAAGCAACTCCAAGGTGATTGGCCCTTTTTAATGAGATTTTTATCAAGAAGTTTTTGGATTTCATTTTGACAAAAATTCATGACTTCCTGATTCACTTAGGAAGGTATTGCCTTGGTCGGGATTTCTTTTTCAAAAAATTAAGATTCATAAGGTAAATCAACTATATGATATTTTTTAAACCAAAAAGCATTAGGAAGTGTCGAACATATAGAACTTTTTATGCAAATTTCAAGATTAGCAATTATTTTCTTAATAGTAGAATCAGAAAAATTTTGCTCAATTCTTTTATGTTCAAGGTCTTCTTTTAAATATTGAAGGTGGTTTTCTTATTTTGGATAATACAATTTATTTCAGAAATGGATTGTTCCCGAAGTGTACTTAAGTTCTTGGTTTGTGGTTTGCTTATAATATTAAAATTATTTTCCTTTTTTAAAAATTTGGTCTCGATACCATCATTAGTAATTTTAAATGGTTGTATAAGTCCTATAAAAGGAGTCCCTATAAGTCTGTAAAGTGATAATTTTAAAAGGTTGTATAAGTCCTATAAAAGGAATGAAGTTTTATAAGAAGTATTATCTTTTGTTGTTTCAGCTTCTGGAATCTTATAATTAATATGTAATTTTGCGATGAACTTTTTTGTTCGTCGCTAATTAACCACGGAAAATAATTCATCGCAAATTTTTTTTTATTTTCTAAAATATTAATGTCAAATTCGTTGCTAATTAGCCACGGAAAATAATTCGTAGCAAATTTTTTTTATTTTCTAAATTGTTAATATCAAATTTGTCGCTAAATCCGTCGCTAATTAGCCACGGATTTTTTTTCGTCACAAATTTTCTAAATTGGTAAAGTCAAATTCATCGATAAATCCGTCGCTAATTACCACGAAAAATAATTCGTCGCAAAATTTTTTTATTTTTTAAATTGGTAATATCGAATTCTTCGCAAATCCTTCGCAAATTAGCCACCAATAATATTTCGTAACAAATTAGCCACAAAAAAAAATTTGTCGCAATCTTTTTTTATTTTTTAAATTGGTAATTGTTTGCCGGCTTTTTTTTAAAATTCGTGGCAAATTTGCCACGAATTTTCTAACGAATTTCGAACATATTAGAAAAAAATGCATTTTTTTTAAATTCATTGCAAAATTCGTGGTAAATTTGCCACGAATTTTGCAAAGAAAATCCAACATAGTAGAAAAATGCCTTTTTTTGAAATTCGTTGGAAAATTCGTGGCAAATTTGCTGCGAATTTTGCAACGAATTTCGAATATATTACAAAAAATGCCTTTTTTTGAAATTCGTCGCTAATTTCCGATAAAAATTTCCAACGAACAATTTTTCGTCACAAATTTCCAACGAATTTAGTTTTTGTTGCAAAAGTCGTCGCTAATTTCTGACGAAAAATTTTTCGTCGCAAATTTTCGTCGCAAAATCCTAGTTTTTTTGTAGTGTTTGGGATTTATGAAATGAATGGTTTTATGAACGTACTTGTAGTTAGAGCTTGCCCAGAACTGATCATTCTTGAGATACTAACTGTTAGGGAAAGGCTAATTAGGGATTTAAATTCGTGCGACTAAAGAAATTCGATCGTGAACTGACTTTCGATCATAGAATTGTCGATGTGACATTTTGAGCCAATGTAGGCCGATCTTAGGATAGTTATGGGCCGATTCATCACTGTCATATGAGTGGATCACGAGTGATTCTGTTTGACCATGAGGTGAGTTGGCGAACGATCCAGAACCTATACCGAACGATCGTGCCCGACGGGACTAGCCATCGATCTTCGCAATTACATGACAACTGAGGTCGTCACGATCCGAATAAACTTGCACGTGACTTGATTTAGTATCAGTCACGGGTCGAATATGCGAATTTCCCAAAAGCCGCCCGTTAGTTTGAGACACGCTCAAGTTACGCTACTTAAAATTCAGTTATTAATTAGAGACCAATTTAGGCATTGGAAAATTAAAAAGTCACGACAGGACAATTTGAACGACGTTATTGGCTTAGTCAGCCTCCGATTTGCCCGGATCCTTCAGAAAAATCGAATTTCGGCGAGAGATGGAAAATGATCGTTTTACCCCTGAGAGTTTATTAAGGCCAAGTGTAATTGGGGAAGGGCATTTTGGTCATTTCATCCTTAGTTTAGAAATGACAATTTTTGGACAAAATTGCCCTTGGATTTTTATGAAATTCCCAAATTGCCCTTGGATATTTTTGGAAAAGATTAGATCGTGACCGTCGATCTCGGGATAAGAACGAATCTCGGCCGTTGATTGAAAGATAGAGAGGGGCAAGATGGTCATTTCACCAAAAGGGGCTCAAATTATTGGTTTTAAGACCAAAATTCTCTCTCTCTCCTCATTCTATCCCTCTCACCCTCACGTCAACTCTATCTCTCTCTCCCTCTCCCCCATCGAACGCCACCCTTTCCCCTTGCCGCGCCGCCACCCTCCGCCCATCGCCGCCGCTCCCGCCACCAAGCCGAACCCCTCGGCCCTCACGTTGCCGTCCCCCTTCCTCTCGGTTCACTCTCTCTCTCTCGTGGCTAAGAGTGACCGGCCAAAGCCGAGCCGCTGCCGCCGTCGTCGATCGTCGCCGCCGCACGGTCGCCGCCGTAGCCGCCGCGTTCCGGCCGCTTTGTCGTCCTTGGATAGGTCGATCTTGCATAGGATTTCCAAGTAAGTCGCAATCTAACCCTCGCCTAGTATATCGGGTATTATCAGACCCGTTTAGACGCGGTTTGGTGTAGTTTAGGGGTTGATTTGATTAGCGGGCCTTAGGGATGAAATTGGGAGGTTTTGGTGGAAATTTAGAGGCCAAAAATGGGCTGTGATTGGCTGGTTTGTGAGTTGTGATTTTCTGTTTGGTGCGTAAATTGGGTGTTTTGAATCGGCGATTAATTGCGTGAACTTGCCGTGTAGTGCCGGGATTGTTGTGATGTGATTTTGTGGTGAAAAATGGCTTGTTGTGTGATAGTTATGTGTACAATATATGGTTGAATTGAAATGATTGATTTGGGCGCATTTGAGTGCACGTGTTTAATGCCTGAGTGTGTGCACGTGTGAGATTTGAGGCGTGCGATATGCGTGTGATCACTAAAAGGCCCTGAGGCGTGTTTACGCGGGGTACAGATAAAATATGGCATGTGAGTATGTTCGTGTGATCACTAAATCCCTGAGGCGTGTTTACGCAGGGAATTGAACCAGCCTGAGGCGTGTTTACGTGGGTCGTGATACGACTGTGGGATTGGGCCGAGGCGTGTTAAGCTCGGGTCGCGATCACGTAGGCCTGTCGCATTTGGCGCGGGCTGAGGAAAGAAAGTGAGAAAGGGGATCGGGCCGAGGCGTGTTAAGCTCGGGTCGCGATCATGTAGGCCTGTCGCATTTGGCATGGGCTGAGGAAAGAAAGTGAGAAAGGGGATCGGGCCGAGGCGTGTTAAGCTCGGGTTGCGATCATGTAGGCCTGTCGCATTTGGCGCAGGCTGAGGAAAGAAAGTGAGAATGGGATCGAACCTGAGGCATGTTTACGCGGGTCGCAATCATGTAGGCCTGATGCGTATTTACGCGAGCTGAGGAAAGTGATTGAGCATGAGATGGTACGATGTGGCAAGTGAAAGTGAGATCGGACCTGAGGCGTGTTTACGCGGGTCGCGATGGCAAGTTTAATGAAAATGATGTGGTGGTGCGTGAACGAGTGCGAAGTGCGGAGTTCGGGATTGTTGTGTGATCGACATGTGCTTGTGGGCATGAGGATGGTCTGGAATGTATATGTGGTTTGAATGTAGTGATTGTGCAATTTAAGATTAACGTGCAGGTTGCGTGTACTGAGAGCCAGGTAAGTACGAATGTGTGGATGTTGTTTGTGTGTTGTTGATTTGGTGTCTGGACTTGTCTAGAAATACGTGGTAGCCTAGGTGGGGCTTAGGTTGTGAACTTATTGACAAGTGTCTCATGGTTATTTCAACCAAACTATTTCAAAGCACCTGCCTGAGCCATGAACCTTCCGCCACTACCGCCACAACGTCTTGGGATTCCTATACACACCGATCATGATGTTGTAGAATACCCGATAGACGAGAATATGACCTGGGTTAAGCATACTTCAGTGGTATGGGTAGATATAGGGCTACCTCTTTGGCAGGCTCACACTTACACGGCCTAGATGTTTCGCGATGGGATGGACGAGTTTGGCCCCGTCTGTGGGTTCGATGTCCCGCTCGACGGAGTAGGTGATTGGGACCCGTCGGCCATACCCCCTCCCGACAGCGAGATGACTAGCCTGGAGACTAGTCTCGCACAGTTAGGACATCAGCATGCACCTGCGGCGCCTGAACCTACTGTGACAGAACCAGATCCAGAGCCAGAAGAATCCCAAGCAAGGTATGATCCAATGGATGTGAATCTAGGTGTAATACCTAAGGAAGAACCAGGAGAAGACGTGCCCGAGGTAGAGCTTGAGGAGGCATCGGAGGATGAGCCAGTAGAGGAGCCAGAGGAGGAGACCGAAGAGGAGCCTGTTGGCGAGGAGAGGATTGAGGTTCAGATAAAGTCGGGAGATGAGGATAAGCCAATTGAGATTGAGGCCGACTCGGAGTCTTCGGATGAGCATGTGCCTGATGAGGATCCAGATGAGGATGATGAGGAGAGTGAGTCGGAGTGGACGCCATCTAGAGGGCGTAGGGGCTAGATTGGGGGTAGAGTAAACCCTTTTGACGTGTACTATTTTTGGAAGGTAGGGTTTACCCAGGTTGCTGATCTTTTTGTGTTGTGGGTGGTTTGTAGTTTAGTAGTTTGGTGTGCGTATTTTGCTTGGTGGAATGTAGATGGATATTGTATATATATCGAGGTATAGTTTTATGTTTGGTGATTTGACGATTTATTTTTCCCTGGTTCTCCAAAATTTTATTGTCAGGGATTATATGTTTGCTTCCGCTGCGATTAACTCTGATGGGATCGTTTGGGTGGGCGACGTTTCCTAGGACGTCGCACTAATTCGACCGAAGAGAGGGATGTCGCGAGCTCATTAGGGTTCGGGGCATGACATAGTATGTCTTCTTCTTAGCTAAGCTGGTGTCTTGAGGGCGGTAATGAGTGCGAAACAGCTGCATATTAACACAAGAATGGAAAAGGAGTTAGAAAAGGAGCGTAGGATGGCGATGCTGTGCAAAAGAACGGGGAAAATGTGGACTGAAAAGTTCGTACCTAATGTGTTTGAAGAAATTCCTGAGGAGAAATGGAGAGCTTCTAATCGGATTTTGCTGGGGAAAATCTACTCGAGGCCTACTGTGAACTTGCAGGCCTCTTATCCACAATGAAGAAGGCATGGAAAACAGAACATGTGGTGTGCGAACCACTACAATCGAGTATCTTATCGTTCACATTCAAAACAGAAGCGGATTTGGAAGTGCTCGAAGCTAGCCCATGGTGCTTCTCCGGCAACTTGCTTATCCTACATAAACTTCAACCTAAGTTACCTATACATCGACATGTCTTTACCCACTGTGAAATTTGGGTGCAAGTGCATGGACTACCGGTACTTTGCATCACGGAAAAAACTATGATGGAGGTGGTAGGAAAGATAGGCAAGGTGGTGGAGCTGAGAATTGATAACAAAGAGGAAAGCCCATGCAAGGTGGGTAGAGCGCGAGTGCTTTTAGAACTAGCCAGTCCTTTATGGCTAGGAGCTATTGTAAATTTTGATGATGGTGATCAAGTGTGGGTAGATTTTAAGTATGAACAGCTTCCCTACTACTGCTATTCTTGCGGAAGGATAGGTCATTACGCCACAAACTGCGAGGAAATTCCCTATAAAGAACCAAGACCAGGGGAAGAGGGATGCGGGAATTTCGGTTATTGGTTGAAAGCGGAAGCACGGGAAAATAGCCCGTTTTGGAAGTTATACAATGAGGAAGTAGATAAACTAGAGGAGGAGGAAACAGCCCTAGAAACACCAATATTGGATGTAAACAGGGAGATCCCGACCCCTACTGAAGACTATGGTATGCAAAGGGTAAACCCTATGGATTGTCAACTGTCGAAATTCTCCAAAGCAAAAGGAAAAGGGATAATTGAGGAGTTGACAACAGAAAAAGGTGAAAGTGCTAAAGATACCCAGCCTCTACTATCATAATCACTAGGGTTGGTAGCTTATTCAAGAGATACATCCACCTCATATAAGAAGGGTCGGAAAGGCCGTATTCCCTCAGCAACCAAGAAAATCAAGAAGGCGAAACAGCTGAATCTACAGAGGATAGACGCGAAGGCTATAGATGAGACACTTCTCCTTGATGCTCCCATTCAGGTTGATGTGGGAACCCAAGAATGGGCTTTGGTGGCTAGCCCTAATAAGCCACCGAGGGATAGATGAAAGTATTGAGCTAGAACTACCGGGGCCTGGGCTCTACCTCGACATTCCAGCACCTCCGAGCCTTAGTGGCTCTTGATAGGCCCAATTTGGTGTTCCTCATGGAAACCAAGAATAATAGAACAGAATTGGATAGGTTGAAACGCCAACTCCAGTTCAGCAAAGCAGTTATTATTGATCCTATTGGCACAGCAGGGGGTTTGGCTCTTATGTGGGAAGAGGAGATATCAGTGGAACTACAGGACTACTCGAAGGAATTGATTGACATAACATGTAGGGACCCCACTTATGGAATCCAAATAAGAATATCATTTCTTCATGCATCTACTGAGTTTCCAGAACGATTACAATTATGGCATAAGTTATGGGCTATTCATTGCAATAACACTCTTCCATGGATTTGTATGGGTGCTTTTAATGATGTCCGTTATTACTGGGAAAAGGCTAGTGGACAAGGGACTGAGAATCATAGAATGGTGGCCTTTCGGGAAATGATGGACGATTGTTCTTTAATGGATATGGAAAGCAAGGGATGCGCATATACATGGTCAAACAATAGAGAAGGGGATGCATTGGTGAGAGAACGACTGGATAGGGCAGTTTGCAACCTAGAATGGCGAGTAGAATTCCCAAGTGCAGAGGCCTATGCTTTACTAGCCATAGGTTCTGATCATAGTCCATTACTTATAACACTGCACCCAAATAACAACAAGAGGAAAAAGGAGTTTCGGTTTGAGGCTTTTTGGGTAGAAGACCTGGAATGTAAGGAGGTGATTAGAATGGCTTGGCATGATAGGTCCTGCCCCCATGGAGACCTAGGGGGAAATCGAGGAAGGTGGCTAGTGCATTGGGGACTTGGAGTAAAAGAAAATTTTCCAATGCTTGCAAGCAAGTTGAGTGCTTAATGAAGAGACTAACCGAGATAACAAATAACCCTAGCGGGTCTGGCTTTAGGGAGGAATCGCAGCAACTCAAAGAACACATAAAGAGTTTATGGAGGCAAGAAGAGATGTACTGGAGCATGAGATCCCGGGTAAATTGGCTAAAGTGGGGGGGACAAAAATACCAAATATTTTCATGCCACAATGATACAAAGAAGAATACCTAACCGAATATCAATGCTGAAAATAGAAGAAAATCAGTGGTGCCATGACCCTGAAGTCTTAAAGCAGCACATTGGGCAATTCTACCGCTCCTTATACACAACTGTGGGGCCCAGAAACTACCAACCGGTGCTTGATCAATGTCCCAACCTTATCCATGATGAGATGAACATGGCCTTAATGAAAAAGGTGACAAAAGAGGAAGTGCAAGAAGCAGTGTTTCAAATGGGAGCAACTAAGGCACCTAGTTCGGATGGTGTTTCAAATGGGAGCAACTAAGGCACCTAGTCCGGATGGTCTGAACAGGCATTTCTATCATCAATACTGGTCTGAAATCCAGCAAGATGTAGTCGACATGGTGGATGGCTTCTTCACTATAGGCACTTTCGACCCCTCCCTTAACTTGACCCAAATTGTATTAATTCCAAAAATAGCCAGCCCGGAGTATATTTCACAATTCAGGCCAATAAGCTTGTGCAACTTCAGTTACAAGATTATTGCAAAAGTTATGGCCAATCGTCTCAAACCATGGCTCCCTGAGATTATTGCGATAGAACAAAGTGCTTTTGTGGGTGGCAGACAAATGCAGGATAATATCCTGATCATCCAGGAGATGCTACACCAACTCCGAATCCGAAAGAGAGAAAAGAAAGTCCAGGCGATTCTCAAACTTGATATGCAAAAGGCTTATGATAGAGTCGAATGGGACTTCCTATGTGATTGCATGAGGACAATGGGATTCTGCGAAGAATGGGTACAACAGGTAAAACAATGTATCTCTATGGTGACTTTCAGCGTGAAAATGAATGGAGAACCACTCCAACAATTTCAGCCATCCTGAGGGATAAGACAGGGAGACCCACTTTCACCATATCTCTTTATCATAATGGCTAATGTATTATCTTCACTTATGAATAGGGCAATTTCAAATGGCAGCCTGCGAGGAATCAAACTAAATAGATGGTGCCCTACAATCTCCCATCTACTTTTCGCGGATGATGCAATCTTCTTCCTTGATGGCACAATTAAAGAATGCCAAAGCCTGTCCAATATTTTAAACCAATACTGCTATGCTTCGGGGCAGGCAATAAATCTAAACAAATCGGGCATCTTCTTTGGGCCAAACTGTCCGCTGCTATTAAAGGAGAAGATGGCGGATGAGCTACATGTCACGCCCCGAACCCCAACGAGCTCGCGGCATCCCCTGCTCCGGTCGAAATGATGCGACGTCCCAGGAACGTCGCCGACCCAACCCAAACATCAGAGCCACATGCGGAAGCGAATAACAAAACCCCGGACAAATAATGATGACAACGGGGTAGAACAACGTAACAATCCAAAGCAACCACATATTCATACAACACCAAATATACAAACATCATATTACGTACATAAATACGACTAACATCCTCGGTCACCGTTTAAACAAAAGTTCAGGGGTTTGGTTATCTTAACTTCACTATCGGATAACCCAAGTTATACAACCCCTAAAACAACCTAGGGAAAAACCTAAGGGTCGCCCTCCTCCGCCCGTTCAATCTCCGGCTTGAATCTCCGGAACTCACCTGCGGCCTCCACTGGGCACCAACGGTAGCTCCCTGGACTTCCAAAAAGAAAAGGCGCACTTCCTGGGTTTAGGGCCGGGTGCAAAGTGGCGGTTATACAACCGTGAGACGAATCTCAATAAGTGTACAACCCCAAACCCCACGTACCGCCAGACGAAAACACACATAACACACAACGATCGGCCAAACTAACAATCACATGCGACCCTACCTGGAATCCATCACGCACGTTCCTGCACGTTAGACAATAACATAGCCAACACATCACAGTAAGGAATCACAGACGCGCGCGTGCCTCAGTTATAAGATAGAAACCACTTGGGCACATCCCATACCGTGCCTAGCAGTTTCTACCCCATAATTAAGCATCACATCGCGAGATACAAACACACTCGCACGCTACTCACACCATGCGTCACTTTCCGCAATCCTCTCGCTTGTCTTGCCAAATCCCACTCATTCTCAACCTTTCCACCACTACCGCGCCCGCGTAAAACGCATCAGGCCAACGGTCTTCTGACCTCGTCAGGCATCGTCACCCCGTCGGGCCGCGCATCGTCACCTCGTCAGGGACGGCATCGTCCCGCGTAAACGTACACGCCTCAGGACGGAATCCTACACACACTTTCCTTCTACCGCGCCCGCGTAAAACGCATCAGGCCAACGGTCTTCTGACCACGTCAGGCATCGACACCCCGTCGGGCCGGGCATCGTCACCTCGTCAGGGACGGCATCGTCCCGCGTAAACGTACACGCCTCAGGACGGATCCTTTCCAACCAATCCTACACATCCGAACCTTCGTTCCACTCAAACCACACTTACACATGGCCAGCAACACTCACGGTCATACACAACCTCACGCCTTACACACAATCCACCACGTATGGTCAAACATACACACCTCACACACATTTCACGATTACTCATTCTCGTCACACGAACACGCACACATAACCATACACTCTTGGCACACAAATTCATTGCACAATCACACTCCCATACTCACACACCTCACGGCCACACACACGAGGCACACGGCCAAGCCACATTCAGTCTGAAACACACACCAAACCAGCCAACCATCACGAGCCACACAACCACATACAAAGTGCCATTCAAGGCATAATTCTACCAATCAATCGCACAATTCAATCACAATCAATCCACAACACCTCAGCCATCATCGAACCTCCTAAACCTCGCAAATTTCCTTGCCAACTCAGTCTCCGATTCAGCCCACAACAACCACATACAATCAGCCTTCAATTTAGTCCTAAAATAGCCACATAAACTACCCGAACTAAACCCTAAACATGCCCTACGATACCCGAACTCCTAAATGACATTTGGGAAAAACACTTACCCAAAAAGGCGAGACAAAACGGGGCTGGAACGGGCCAGGACAGCGGCAGCAGCGGGAGCAGCGTCGCCGGCGACGTACGGACGGCGTGAACAGTACTTTCGTACGGACGGGGTTGGGACGGTGGTCCGGCGAGATGCCGGTGACAGTGCCTGCGGCCCGTACGGTCCTAGCTGGGCGTGAATGGTGATCCGTACGGACTCGGTGAATAGTACCCGTACGGAGACACTGTACGGACGGTGCTGGGCGGCGACGTATAGACGTGCTGGATGGCCGGGTGTCGACGGAACGGCGATCGGAGCTCCGGCGAAGCTCCGGCGGTACTGTTTGTAAAATAGAAAAATGAGAAAAGAGGGAAAAAGGAGAGAGAGGGCTGATTCTGGACTATACCCGGGGCTGTGGTGGCTGCACAGAGGTGGAAAATGGTTGCTGGTGATGCTGGCTCGGCGGGGGTAGCACCGGCTGGTACTGTTCCGGCGTGAACAGTACCCGAACTTGCAGAACCGTACACGCCAGAACCAGAAACGGAAGAAAAGGGAGAAGAATTTGGGGAAGCTCTCGGCAGAACAGAAAAATGAGAGAGAGAGAGAGAAGACTATCTGGTCAAATGGGTCAAAGTTGGGTTTAAGTGGAGTCCAAGTGTCATTATCTAAGCCCATTGGACACCTTTGCCCTTGATCCAATGGACAAGATTTGATCAAATTCAATAATTTAGGGGTGAAATGGTCTTTTGTCCCTAACCATGGTTGACCAGACCTGGTTTAACCCTAACTCACCTTGGTTAGCCCCAAAATTTTGACCAATTTTCGGAATTAAATAAAATGGTCATAGGGGCATTTTCGTAATTTTCCGATCCCGAACCGAAATTTCAATTTTCGCACATACGCGTTCCATATGTGCGTGGCCAACATAATATGGCGTCGGAATCGCGAAATTCATCGCGCAAGCCCTCGAAAATCCACGTCAAAGTCTCGGGAATAAAATAATATTATTTTTTCAATTTTTGTCGAAATTCCAATTTTTGGCCAAAACCACTCTGAATGTGCGTGGCCACCCCAAAATGACCTTGGCCGTGAAAAATAACCTCAAACGGCCTCCGAATCCAGCCTCGGTGCCCACAGGGGCAAAACCGTAATTTTTCCGGCTCCGGACCGAAATCCATTTTTTTGCAGAAATGGGTGGCCCCAAGGTTGGCCAAGCCAAAAACGTCATCGGCCGCTCAAAATTGTCACTTTCAAAATTCTCGATTCCCGGGCCCGAATTCCAAGAAATGACTAAAATCGAACAATCGCGACTTTAGCTTATCTCTTGCTAACAGGTGGCTCATTGGGATTACGCGCTCTCGACCCGTGACCGACACTAAGTCAAATCACGTTTAAGTTTACTCCACCCGGGACGACCTCGGTTGTCATATAATTGCGAGGGTCTGTCGCTAGTTCCCTTCGGACACGATCAATCAAGTAGACCGGTCTCGGTTGGCTCAAAACATTCCCTCGTCAATCCATATGGTCGAAGATCGAACCCAGGTTGAGTTCTTTGGTCGTGCGAACTCAATCCCGTAACGGCCCTACCCCTAAGGTTAGCATCCCGAGAATGCGCATTTCCGGGTGAGATCTCACTATAAGTGCATTGATCAAATTCATTTCCTAAATCCCGGGAAAAGGATCGAAAATTCAGACTGTTACACTACAAGTCCCTATTATTGACAAAACAGGTAAATACTGGGGACAATCAAAGAAACATATGTTTGCTTGGGTCTTAGCGCATGTCAACTCGAAGCTGGAGGGTTGGAAAGAGAAACTGATTTTTAAAGTGGGAAAGGAGATCCTCATCAAGACAGTGGACTAGGCACTTCCACAGTATGCGATGTCCATTTTCAAAATTCCGGTTTCAATTTGCAGATCAATTGAGAGAAGAATTGCCTGTTTCTGGTGGAAACAAAATGTTAAGCGTAAAGGAATCCACTGGAGGAAATGGGAGTCACTGAAAACAAGGAAAGATGAGGGAGGACTAGGATTCAGGGACTTAGTGGAGTTCAATAAGGCGATGCTAGGGAGACAAGCATGGAGACTAATACAAGCACCTCAAAACCTATGGAGCCAAGTTATGAAGGGAATATATTATCCACAGGGTGAATTCTAGCATGCTGGAAGGGGCAACCGCCCTTCATGGGGGTGGCAAAGCATATTAACTGGGAGAGAGGTAATTGAATCGGATGTGAGATGGAGAGTGGGAGATGGCAAAAGTATCCAAATCAGGGAGGACCTTTGGCTACCTAGTGGCCGCATCGGTGGCCCGACGAATCAATATGACCCTAAATACATAGAGGAACTAATTGAACCAGTGACTCAGTACTGGAACCTAGTGAAGCTATATGAACTTTTTGAGCAAAGGATAGTCCAGGAGATCCTCGCCATCCCGCTAAGCATCAATTCACATAGGGACAGTCAAGTGTGGACAGGTAACAGCACGAGCTTATATTCGGTCAAAAGTGGCTACAACAGAATGTGCTCCCAGTCAAAAAAAATTAACGCCAACCTGGCATCAACATCATATCAGCCTCCTAAGAACCTATGGACTCGCATATGGTAGATTTAGCACTACTCGAAAATTCGCTTCTTCCTATGGAGTGTATGCAACAACGCTCTCCCAACGAAGGAAAACCTTTACAAGAGAAGACTCGTACCCGATCCATTTGTGTCCGATGTGTAAGAACGCTCCTGAAACGCTCGAACATCTCCTCCTTCTGTGTGACTGGACAAGGGAAATATGGTTAGATTCAAACATTAAGCTGAAGACATCAACGGAAGCAGTCACTCGAATGGATAAATGGCTCGCAGAGAACTTACCTTCCCAAGTAGGGTCAAAATCGGGTGGAATTCTGGCCGGAGTGCTCTGGCTCATCTAGAAAGAACGGAACGCGAAGGTTTTCCGGAACAGTAAACCACGATCACGGGGAGTAATAACTGAAGCAATTAGCGACCTCAATCTATATGAACACTGGAACCAAAAGAAGGGGAAACAGAGGGAAAGTGAAGAGAGAGGCTTACCAATTGAGGGATGGTCACCACCTCCGTCGGGCTTGTGGAAATTGAACGTCGATGGATCATGGTGTAGTGAATCGCGGCAAGGAGTGGTGGCTGGAATCTGCAGAGACCATCTCGGGCGGCTGATGGGAGGCTTCACGAAGAAAATCGTCGCTCCATCCGCCCTCGCCGCCGAAACCCTAGCCTTGAGGCAAGGCCTGCTCTTCATGAAAAGTCAGAGGGAAGCTTCGCCCAGCGTACTGATGGAACGAAGCACTCAAGTGAAGATTGAGTCAGACTATACATTGCTTGAGAGATACATCACGGGTCGGGCTGAAGCTCCATGGGCCATCCAAACATTAATCAAAGATTGCACAAACCTCTTGGGCTGCTTAGAGGGTGTCTCAGTAACTTCTTGTTTGAGAGAAGAAAACCGGGCTGCGGATTGGATAGCGAAAGCCCACCAGAACGATTCATTTCCTATGAACTGGCTGTCTACTATCCCCATTTCTCTATTTTCGTTGTTATGTAATGACATGAGACCATGCTATGGTAAACTTACTTTTTAGTAATGAAGATGTATTTATCGACCAAAAAAAAAATATCCCGACTCTTAAATTTCATTTCTCATAAGCATTAGACCCACATGCATTTTAATTGAGCGAATGTGAAACAAATTCAATGAAGGAGCGTACATGCAAAATTGAAATAGCAAGAAATCATGAAGGACCAGGAGGAGTCGTCAGAAACCAGAATATGTGCGGAGCAAGAAAGAACAAAAGAAATATACTCTAGGAATGTCCAGCGATATACTTGCTAAGGCATGTAAATCTCGGGAGAGAGCACATATCCACGGTTGAGTGCAGAGTATATTTGGCCAAATATTTGCATGATTCTGGGCAAAAGCTGAATCTTCGGGAGCGAACTAATCAACCAGCAAATTTCAGCTAGTCTAGAGAAGGAAATCGTGGAGATATTTTCTCATTTGAAAGCGCAGTAGGTGGGGGCTAAAATAAGAAAGAAAGTAAAATAACAAAAGGAAGTAAAAGACAAACAGCTTAATGCTTTGCCGAGAATTATTCAGCTAAATATGAAAGGAAAACAAGAGGGGATCAATTTGACTGATTATGCAAGAAAGTGGGAATTCTGGCCAGCCATTCTTGCATTGACAGATATTCAAATCTCGGTGATTGAGGAGCCGAATTTCCTGTCAATCTTGAGCTCGTAAGGATCAAGAGCCGTGAATTGTGCAATGAAATCAGGTAAATAAGAAGGCATGAAATTGATAAAATGGAAGGAATCAAAGCGTTCGAGGCTGAATAGCATACATAAAAAGAAAAAATCAAGCTAGCCATGAAATTGTGCACAAACTTGATCGTGAATCATGGCGATGAGAAAAGGAAACTCAGAAAGTTGCCCATAGAAAGAGATGCTCAGAGCCATTATAAAAGCAGCGGAGAGGAACACAGAAAGGGGGGAGTTTTTCACATCATTGCCTCACCATACTAAGTTTGCCCGTGAAGTGCCTGCACAATACTACTGCGCTCAGCAGCTCATTCTGCTCTCTAACAATATCACTATTCCTATTGAATTGCTGCCCTCATACAGTCCTTGTTTGTTCCACACGTTGTGCTTTGCTTCACTCCACTTCGGCCACTCTCCATTCTCTGGCGAGTTTCCGACAGTGTGTGCAAAGCGCAGCCTCTGTTGTTTTCCCTTGGTGATAGTTGGACAGATATCCGTTAGTTCCACCCAAGTCTGACAATTCCCCAAGAGTCGTGACTCACACCTCCAAACGTGCTGCCCTTGCCATCGCCAAGAATCCCCACCGCTGCTGCTGCATTGTTGCTACTTGCTATTGTACTGCTGCTTGATGTTGCTGCTGCTACACTGCTGTTCATCGCAGCAGTTCGTCACTGCTGTTTATTGCTGTTTGCTACTGCTGCGTCCCTGCTGCTGCTGCTTGTTGCTGTTCTTTGCTCACTGCTGTTCATCGCAGCAGTTCGTCACTGCTGTTTATTGCTGTTTGCTACTGCTGCGTCCCTGCTGCTGCTGCTTGTTGCTGTTCTTTGCTCACTGTTGCTTGCTGCTGCCGCCGTTCATCGTCGTTGCTTTCTACCGTTTGCTGTGTTGCTGCTGTTCGTCACTGTTTGCTGCTGTTCGCTGCTGCCGCCGCTTGCTGCTGTTGCTGCTTGCCACCGCTCGCTGCTGTCGCTGATCATCGTTGCTGCTCGTCGACGTCTGCTGCATTGCTGCTGTTCGTCGTTGTTTGTGGTTGTTTGCTTCTGCTGCGTCCTTGCTGCTGCTGCTCGTTGTCGTTCGCTGTTGCCGCTGCTCGGTGCCGTTCGATTGTCGTTGTTGTGCTGTTCTTCATCGCTGACATTCGCTATTCACTGCTCGCTGTTACATCACTGTTATTGCTGTTGCGATCCCCCTCACTTTAGATCGACTTCTCGTGGATAACTATAACTAAGGTGAGGATAATGTTAGTTTAAATTTGTGGATACTTAATACATGATTTTATCTAGTAATATATTTTCTTTGCATTAACCAAGATATATTAGGGTGTTTGGACCTTTAGACACTAAGGTCAAATCCTTACTATTATCTGGACATGAATCATTGATCTGTAAAAACATTTTTTGAAATAAAGAGAAAATGTACCGAAAGGGCGATAGATTAATCTAGCGTAACCAAGTCCCCGAATCCCTTGAATCTCTTGTTTGTAAAAGTAAAATGTACTCCCGCATTTTACTTGGGTGTCTAATTGACCTATAACCGATTAGTGGCGGCTCCGAAAGGTAAGATAAATGTCATGATTAAATCGGGTACCAAGTTGCAGTCGGATGGGCTTGGGAGAGTCCGCACTAAAAGCGAGCGATTGCCTCATGAGAGGAACCTTTGTTCCCGTTCAGTAAATCCGTTAGCCATCTCCTGGTGGTTCACCTCCAGGAAGGTCGCGACAACTTGGCGACTCCACCGGGGACTTGAATTAAAATTCATAGTGGACTTAGGCCTGAATTTCTCTTTTCGAAAAAAATGTTTTTGCTTGGCAGTGCGGAGATCAGGTACGCCACTAACGTTAGGTGTTAAATGGTTTTGCAGATGAGAGATATAAGGGGTGAAGTGTATGCTAACACTTGTTTTGCAAGGAGGTGTTGTGAACTAATGCTTTAATTTATTGTTGAAGTGGTGTGTGCATCATATAAATTGTTGTGCCTATTTTACATACTTTAGCACTACACATTTGCACACACGTTCCGTGACCAGACCTGGGTCACATACTAGGAAAACAATTAGGATGGTGTTAAGAGGATCCGGCCACATCTGCAGACACGCAGATTAAGAGCCGTCCTCTTTAACCCCACTTTTTCTAGGTGTCGAAAGTGTTCGTCTTTACTCGCAGACCCGCGATAATAACGACAACATTTTGACTAAGCCGGTATCAAGAGGACTCGATTTAGTCAACAAACACGTCTGACTAGTCAGTATGTCCTCCTGGACTATAGTTTCAAGTCTTTTAGTATACCCCACCTATAGGCGTTGAACCTCACATGTACATACACATGTCTTTGTGTTTTACTATCCTTCGTTATCAATGTAAGTGTTCTATACTCATTATCCCTTTTATTTATTACATCGTGTTTCCCAAACGTTTTGTCTCGATCAGTTATATGCCCTCCATGATCAAGTACAAACATTTTCAAATCAAGGGGGCATTTGTTTTGATTGGTACTGAATACCTCTTCAAAGGTACTTTCTCTTATAATGAAATCACTGCAAAAGACCACATCCTCGTTTGATCCGAGGATAAGTCGAGTGCTTTGTTTTCATTACCAGAGACAGTCTCACTGAAGACCCAAATTCCCTTTTCTTTATCATTGCACTGATTTTCTTTTTTTTTTTTTTAAGGAAAATGACATTCAAGAAAAAGATGACCAAGAAACGGGTACCCAAATGGAAGGATGACGACAAGATGGCACAGTTCCAACGTCGAGTAGGCGAGTTGAGAATTGTATTGCTACAACTATTGGATTGCCTAGACAACTTTGCTGCGACTCCACCTCTGCCTCCTGAGTCGCACTTTGTAGGATGCGATTGTCGCGAGAATCGACTAACCTGTTCGATGCACTCCAGAACAAAATTTCCAGGATCGTACGTTAAATCACCAACAAATGATGAACGAATCTACAAAACGTTGGTCCGAATACAATCACAAGGAAAGTATTCTTGTTCCACAGCGTTAATGCCGATTGTCTTCTCAAAGTAGAAACGGAATCCTAATGCCTCGAGAGAGAGAGTTCTGAATTTTCTCTTGTATCTTGTTCATCCGCCGAAGAAGTTATCTTAACTTCCATTAAGAAACTCTCCTCGCACCTCTTCAAAAGGTGTCTCTCAGACACACCTCTTATTAGAGCAAATGGTGTCCCTTGGACACACACATCATGGGCGGACCGACGAAATATAACATCTCCCACTCGCACATGATGGGCTTGATGATGCTCTATCAAGAACATAAGGGCATTCAACATTCATCTACCTTAGAAACAATTCATACTGGCAAGAAAGCCGTGCGACCAGTGAGTACACCTGCACTTGAGAGCTCTAATTATGCACCTGTTAGGGACAACATAATGGCTACAACCCCAAAAATAAATAAACAATTGATGTCTCACAGTGCCCCAGACATATTTTGTTACATGAGTCCAAGTATACCTATCCCTTAAAGGCTATACTTGACTTTTCTCAAAAAACACCATGTATTTACAATTATTTCCGAAAGCCATTTAAGGCGAAATAATTGGTCGACCAGTAAACACATGTGATAGATGTAAAACAACAATAGTCTTCCTTCGCACTCATGTCTCTCTCCATTTCAGAACAACTGCTTTCCTAGACACGTCCCATAAAGCCATATCTATTCATGACCGCCGGTAACATGCTAAAGTAGCAACATTGATCTTCTACTTCAAGAACATAGTCAGAAGTAATATAGGGCACAAAGTAAGGTAAATTATAAATTACCTTAAGAACTCACACGATGAATAAATAGGGATAATTGTACTCATCTCCCTTATTGGTCAAATAAAGCACATGTAGTATGAATTACATGCTATAGTGGATTTCTCTTTCTATAAGAGCGTATGTCATTTATTAATCATATCCACTATACGAATCTTAGCCTAAACATAGTCACATGCTTCTTACGTACTCATGTTTAGCCCGAGTGCTATATCAGCTCGCTTTCCACAGCGCCCAATTTAGTAC